AGCAGTGTCTGATCCCTGTCCCAGTTGCCAGTGGAGTAGCAGTACCTGAGCGCTGCACCAGTTGCCAGTTGAGAGCAGTGCCTGAGCCCTGACCCAGTTGCCAGTGGAGAACGTGCCTGAGCCCTGACCCAGTTGCCATTTGAGGAGCAGTGCCTGAGGCCTGACCCAGTTGCCTGTGGTGGAGCGTGCCTGAGTCCTGACCCAGTTGCCAGTGCAGGAGCAGTGCCTGAACCGTGACCGTGTTGCCAGTGAAGGAGCAGTGTCTGAGCCCTGACCCAGTTGCCAATGGAGGAGCAGTGTCTAAGCGCTGCCCCAGTTGCCATTGGGGGAGAAGTGTCTGAGCCCTGAACCAGTTGACAGTGGAGGAGCAGTGTCTGAGCTCTGTCCCTGTTGCCAGTCGAGGAGCAGTGTCTGAGCCCAGACCCAGTTGCCAGTGGAGGAGGAGTGTCTGAGCCCTGCCCATTGCCAGTGGAGGAGCAGTGCCTGAGCTCTGCCCCTGTTGCCAATGGAGGAGCAGTGCCTGAGCCCTGTCCAGTTGCCAGTGGAGGAGAAATGCCTGAGCCCTGACCCAGTTGCCAGTGGCGGAACAGTGCCTGAGCCCTGCCCCAGTTGCCAGTGGAGGAGCAGTGCCTGAGCCCTGACACAGTTGCCAGTGGAGGAGTAGTGTCTAAGCCCTGCCTCAGTTGCCAGTGGAGGAGCAGTGCCTGAGCTCTGACCCAGTTGCCAGTGGAAGAGCAGTGCCTGAGCCCTGACCCAGTTGCCAGTGCAGGAGCAGTGCCTGAGCCGTGACCGAGTTACCAGTGAAGGAGCAGTCTCTGAGCCCTGACCCAGTTGCCAATGGAGGAGCAGTGTCTAAGCACTGCCCCAGTTGCCATTGGGGGAGAAGAGTCTGTGCCCTGAACCAGTTGCCAGTGGAGGAGCAGTGTCTGAGCTCGGTCCCAGTTGCCAGTCGAGGAGCAGTGTCTGAGCCCAGTCCCAGTTGCCAGTGGAGGAGCAGTGTCTGATCACTGCCCAGTTGCCAGTGGAGGAGCATTGCCTGAGCTCTGCCCCTGTTGCCAATGGAGGAGCAGTGTCTGAGCCCTGTCCCAGTTGCCAGTGGAGGAGCAGCGCCTGAGCCCTGCCCCAGTTGCCAGTAGAGGAGCAGCGCCTGAGCTCTGTCCCAGTTGCCAGTCGAGGAGCAGTATCTGAGCCCTGTCCCAGTTGCCAGTGGAGGAGTAGTCTCTGAGGCCTACCCAGTTGCCAGTGGAGGAGTAGTGTCTGAGCCCAGACCCAGTTGCCAGTGCAGGAGCAGTGTCTGAGCCCTGTCCCAGTTGCTAGTGGAGGAGCAGAGTCTGAGTCCTGCCCCAGCTGCCTGTGGAGGAGCAGTGTCTGAGGCCAGATCCAGTTGCCAGTGGAGGAGTAGTGCCTGAGCCCTGACCCAGTTGCCAGTGGAGCAGCAGTGCCTGAGCCATGACCCAGTTGCCAGTGGCGGAACAGTGCCTGAGCCCTGACCCAGTTGCCAGTACAGGAGCAGTGCCTGAGCCCTGACACAGTTGCCATTGGGGGAGAAGTGTCTGAGCCCTGAACCAGTTGCCGGTGGAGGAGCAGTGTCTGAGCTCTGTCCCAGTTGCCAGTTGAGGAGCAGTGTCTGAGCCCTGTCCCATTTGCCAGTGAAGGAGCAGTCTCTGAGCCCAACCCAGTTGCCAGTGGAGGCGTAGTGTCTGAGCCCAGACGCAGTTGCCAATGGACGAGCAGCGCCTGAGCCCTGCCCCAGTTGCAAGAGCAGGAGCAGCGCCTGAGACCTGTCCCAGTTGCCAGTGGAGCAGCAGTCTCTGAGCCATGTCCTGTTGCCAGTGGAGGAGTAGTGTCTGAGACCAGACCCAATTGCCAGTGGAGGAGCAGTGTCTGAGCCCTGCCCCAGTTGCCAATGGAGGAGCAGCACCTGAGCCCTGCCCCAGTTGCCAGTGGAGGAGCAGTGTCTGAGCCCTGTCCCAGTTGCTAGTGGAGGAGCAGAGTCTGAGTCCTGCCCCAGCTGCCTGTGGAGGAGCAGTGTCTGAGTCCTGCCTCAGTTGCCAGTGGTGGATCAGGGTCTGAGGCCAGATCCAGTTGCCAGTGGAGGAGTAGTGCCTGAGCCCTGACCCAGTTGCCAGTGGAGCAGCAGTGCCTGAGCCATGACCCAGTTGCCAGTGGAGGAGAAGTGCCTGAGCCCTGACCCAGTTGCCAGTGGCGGAACAGTGCCTGAGCCCTGCCCCAGTTGCCAGTGGAGGAGCAGTGTCTGAGCTCTGTCCCAGTTGCCAGTCGAGGAGCAGTGTCTGAGCCCTGTCCCAGTTGCCAGTGAAGGAGTAGTCTCTGAGGCCTACCCAGTTGCCAGTGGAGGAGTAGTGTCTGAGCCCAGACCCAGTTGCCAGTGGAGGAGCAGTGTCTGAGCCCTGACCCAGTTGCCAGTGGAGGAGCAGCGCCTGAGCACTGCCCCAGTTACCAGTTGAGGAGCAGTGCCTGAGCCCTGCCTCAGTTGCCAGTGGCTGAACGGTGGCTGAGCCCTGACCCAGTTGCCATTGGGGGAGAAGTGTCTGAGCCCTGAACCAGTTGCCAGTGGAGGAGCAGTGTCTGAGCTCTGTCCCAGTTGCCAGTCGAGGAGCAGTATCTGAGCCCTGTCCCAGTTGCCAGTGGAGGAGTAGTCTCTGAGGCCTACCCAGTTGCCAGTGGAGGAGTAGTGTCTGAGCCCAGACCCAGTTGCCAGTGGAGGAGCAGTGTCTGAGCCCTGCCCCTGTTGCCAGTGGAGGAGCAGTGCCTGAGCCCTGCCCGTTGCCAATGGAGGAGCAGTGTCTGCTCCCTGCCCCAGTTGCCAGTGGAGTAGCAGTGCCTGAGCCCTGCCCCAGTTGCCAGTGGCTGAACAGTGCCTGAGCCCTGCCCTAGTTGCCAGTGGAGGAGCAGTGTCTGAGCCATGCCCCAGTTACCAGTGGAGGAGCAGCACCTGAGCCCTGACCCAGTTGAAAGTGGAGGAGCAGCGCCTGAGCACTGCCCCAGTTACCAGTTGAGGAGCAGTGCCTGAGCCCTGACCCAGTTGCCAGTGGCGGAACAGTGCCTGAGCCCTGCCCCAGTTGCCAGTGGAGGAGCAGTGTCTGAGCTCTGTCCCAGTTGCCAGTCGAGGAGCAGTGTCTGAGCCCTGTCCCAGTTGCCAGTGAAGGAGTAGTCTCTGAGGCCTACCCAGTTGCCAGTGGAGGAGTAGTGTCTGAGCCCAGACCCAGTTGCCAGTGGAGGAGCAGTGTCTGAGCCCTGACCCAGTTGCCAGTGGAGGAGCAGCACCTGAGCCCTGACCCAGTTGCAAGTGGAGGAGCAGCGCCTGAGCACTGCCCCAGTTACCAGTTGAGGAGCAGTGCCTGAGCCCTGCCTCAGTTGCCAGTGGCTGAACGGTGGCTGAGCCCTGACCCAGTTGCCATTGGGGGAGAAGTGTCTGAGCCCTGAACCAGTTGCCAGTGGAGGAGCAGTGTCTGAGCTCTGTCCCAGTTGCCAGTCGAGGAGTAGTCTCTGAGGCCTACCCAGTTGCCAGTGGAGGAGTAGTGTCTGAGCCCAGACCCAGTTGCCAGTGCAGGAGCAGTGTCTGAGCCCTGCCCCTGTTGCCAGTGGAGGAGCAGTGCCTGAGCCCTGCCCGTTGCCAATGGAGGAGCAGTGTCTGCTCCCTGCCCTAGTTGCCAGTGGAGGAGCAGTGTCTGAGCCATGCCCCAGTTGCCAGTGGAGGAGCAGCACCTGAGCCCTGACCCAGTTGCAAGTGGAGGAGCAGCGACAGAGCACTGCCCCAGTTACCAGTTGAGGAGCAGTGCCTGAGCCCTGACCCAGTTGCCTGTGGAGGAGCAGCGCCTGAGCCCTGCCCCAGTTACCAGTTGAGGAGCAGTGCCTGAGCCCTGCCCCAGTTGCCTGTGGAGGAGCAGTGCCTGAGCCCTGACCCAGTTGCCAGTACAGGAGCAGTGCCTGAGCCGTGACCGAGTTGCCAGTGAAGGAGCAGTCTCTGAGCCCTGACCCAGTTGGCAGTGGAGGAGCAGTGTCTAAGCCCTGTCCCAGTTGCCATTGGGGGAGAAGTGTCTGAGCCCTGAACCAGTTGCCAGTGGAGGAGCAGTGTCTGAGCCCTGTCCCAGTTTCCAGTGAAGGAGTAGTCTCTGAGCTCTGAACCAGTTGCCAGTGGAGGAGCAGTGCCTGAGCTCTGCCCCAGTTGCCAGTGGAGGAGCAGTGCCTGAGCTCTGCCCCAGTTGCCAGTGGAGGAGCAGCGCCTGAGCTCTGCCCCAGTTGCCAGTGAAGGAGTAGTCTCTGAGCCCTGAACCAGTTGCCAGTGGAGGAGCAGTGCCTGAGCTCTGCCCCAGTTGCCAGTGGAGGAGCAGTGCCTGAGCTCTGCCCCAGTTGCCAGTGGAGGAGCAGCGCCTGAGCTCTGCCCCAGTTGCCAGTGAAGGAGTAGTCTCTGAGCCCTGAACCAGTTGCCAGTGGAGGAGCAGTGCCTGAGCTCTGCCCCAGTTGCCAGTGGAGGGGCAGTGCCTGAGCTCTGCCCCAGTTGCCAGTGGAGGAGCAGCGCCTGAGCTCTGCCCCAGTTGCCAGTGAAGGAGTAGTCTCTGAGCCCTGAACCAGTTGCCAGTGGAGGAGCAGCGCCTGAGCTCTGCCCCAGTTGCCAGTGAAGGAGTAGTCTCTGAGCCCTGAACCAGTTGCCAGTGGAGGAGCAGTGCCTGAGCTCTGCCCCAGTTGCCAGTGGAGGATCAGTGCCTGAGCTCTGCCCCAGTTGCCAGTGGAGGAGCAGTGCCTGAGCTCTGCCCCAGTTGCCAGTGGAGGAGCAGCGCCTGAGCACTGCCCCAGTTACCAGTGGAGGAGCAGCGCCTGAGCCCTGCCCCAGTTGCCAGTGGAGGAGCAGTGCCTGAGCCCTGACGTACGGGGAAGTGAAAACTGAAAATGAATTTCCGAGAAGGGATGTGACTGATCGTCGGACCAATGGAAGTCAGTGGAGGACTTCCGCAGTCTCCGGCAGAGACCGCCCCGGAGAGAGAGTTGCAAATTCTTAGGAACAAACACGAAAACAAATCGGGGGATTTTGCAGCTTCTTTTACTTTCGATCTAATTCCGCAGTTGGCAGTGCGGGACCTGCTTTGCCTCCGGAGGATTTCCAACCCGACTGTCGGGCTGTCAGCGCTCTCACTGAAAACGGGGGTCGTTTTATCTTTGGAAGTGACTGATCTCGAGGTAACTACCAGGTTTTTTTTTGTGTGTGTGTGTGTGGGGGGTTTCTGAGCGATGCCAATGCATTGAAACAGGAAGTAAGTTGTTTTTTTCTTTTGCAAAAAAAAATAAGAAAAAAACATGTAAGGTATTGGACATGTCGGGATTTCGTTACCATTTCTTGAGCCGCTTCCAGAGAAGCGGAGGAAAGTTTGCAACTTTTGCGGGTAGAATTGCAGTTTTAGTTTCGTTTTAGCGCACGCATTTATTTGGGAGGGGAGGAGGGGGGGGAATGGATCCAGAGGGTGGGTTTGACACTGATACCTGCGCTTTCCTGGTCGTAACAACTGCAAATAATGCACTTCCCGAGGGTCGTGGTCGTTGTTTGCAAAGTGACATTTGCACCGGGGGCAGTGCTTGATGTCCAAACGCATCACCACCGGCTCTGCTTTCGGGATCCGCGAGTGCCAGAAGTGAAGGGCTGAGGTTGACCTTTTACTGCATTTGGGATTAAAATATGGAGGAGCTCCATCACACTTTCGGTTTCTTCCTCCTGGTCCACACTTATAAACAAACCACTCACACACTCACACACACACACACACACACGGGGCGTCCTTCACGCTGTGAATGCAGAGGTGTGACCCACTGAGAGGACCCCCAGAGCTGTGGACTGGTGTTGTTTGGGATAGTTTCGCTGTGTGGCCTCAGGGACTGTTTTACATTGGCAGCCGCTTGATTTCTGCACTAAAGTGTCACATGCCCCGGACACGCTGACAGCAGCGCTCGCTGCCCAGTGCCCAGTGCCCGGTGCCCAGTGGCCAGTGCCCAGTGCCCAGTGCCCGGTGCCCGGTGCCCAGTGCCGGCCCCCGGTAGTCTGTCCCAGGCTTTGCGATGACTGTACGGTTGATGTTCGGGGCAGTGGTTGTGCAGCACTGTTCCCGCCCCCTCCCCCCGGGGCTCACTTCCGCCTTGTGAGTGCTGCACTGTCCGAGAGGGCGGGCGGGCAGGCGGGTGTGATTGACAGGCCCGGCAGCCAATCAGGCGCCGCCAACCGGGGGTCACCCACGATTGGCAGCTCCAGCCACCAATCCGGGTTTCGGCGGCCGGATGACTGACAGCTCAGCTGGCCAATCACAGGGCGAGTCGGTGGTGTACAGTAGCCCTGCGAAGCAGAGCGCGGTTACATAATCCCCGACTGTAATGTAGCAAACGTTTGCAACAGCCTGAGCCACATGAGAGGTCCCTGAGCTGGGGAGATGCTCATCTATTTATATTACTGCCGATAAATGCAATTTATCTTAGTTCATCCCGGATTAGACACACTGTGTATCTTCACACTGTTTTAACAAACAGAAAGCTCTGCCCTCCCCCCCCTTTCCCTTTTCACGTGTTGATCTTATTTTTCCACATAAAAACATAATTCTGCTGCATGTGCTCTCTGTAACAACATGTCTTAATTTGATACCGTATTTAAGGCCTCATGACCTGCTTGCACATTACTGTTTTGCATGAAGCATCCGTTTGATTGCAGTAATTAACATTGGGGGCTCAAGAAAAATGCAAACCCTGATGGAGTTTATTTCAGAAAGTGCGATCGGCTTTTAATAAAGATGTTACTTACAATTTTGAAATTAAAATGGCAGCATTTTGTATCTTGGCGTATTATTTTTATCCGTCAGGGATCTGATATGCACAGAAATCCCTCAGTGTCTGAAGTGGTTTGGAAATTGGCTTGATTCACAGGAAGTTTTAAATGGAACTGTATTGACATGGAAGGAAGCACTGTACAGTAACAAGTGAGGTGCCTCAGGGATTCAGTTTCAGCCAAGATGCTTTTTACATTGGACAGAATTTATTTGGAAGTGGAGAAAGAAACCAAGGTATTGTAGTTTGCAGATGACTCCAAATTGAAGGAGTTGCAAATTATAAGGAACAGAATGACCAAATACTGAGGATCTGGTTAGGTCAGGAAATTATACTATCAAATGGCCAAATGTTATTTAATGTAGATAAATATAGAGGGATGACATTAGGGAAGCAGAATAAACAATGCAAAAATAAATTAAATGATATTAGTCACAGGACATGACATTCTTTTTGTTCAGACAGGTGTCTACAACCTGCAGAAACACTTCACCGTGCTTAAGAGTATCCAAGCAAAGTTCCATGTATCTATACCAACCACACATGGAAATCTTACTGTATCTGGAATGAATGTGGATTTTCTCTCTGGATGAATGCAGCTGCTTACCTAATTCTGGAGAATATAAGTTGCAGGTTGGCGAGTGCCAAGGCTTGGGGAGTCCAGAGTGTGTGTTGAGGTACTGCTGGAGTCCAACCAGGTAAAACTGCATAGCTTGCCATTGAGAGCACTGCTTCTTGTCATCGTTGACCATTAGGGCTTTGGTTTACTGAGTTAACAGGAGTTGAATGGGAAGAATCCTAAACTTCTGTGACCATTCTGCCCCTCCATGTTCTGCTGACAAAGCAGGCTGCTGGTCTGTCATCAGCAGTGCTTTGGTGTACAACAACAACTTAAAATAATAATCCTTGCCCAACGTTTCGCCCTGCCGGGAATCAAACCTAGGTCTCTCGCTTGCATTTATCTAGTGCCCTTCCATGGGGTGTAATTCTAGAGTATTAAACTGTGTACCCATCTGGTTCAGGAACTGAATTTAGCACGGCCATAAAGGATTAACTCCATTCTGACATTGCTAAGCACATCATGTTGGAGCCAGCTCAACTCTAGGGAGATCCCATTTGCTTAGGACATGACATTTGAGACAGATTTAAGAACACCAATAAATAGCTTGCTGAAACCAACAGCATTGTCTACAACAACAATGAAGAAAGTACAACAAAAAATTGCATTTGTATAGTGCCTTTCGTGCTGGAAAGAGTCTCAGGGGGCTTAAGTAGGATCTTGGGATGCAGGTTGCATTGGTATTAAACTTTTAAACTTTTGACATAGAGTACATTTCTAATTACTGCATTACAGTAGGACATCTCATTATTGAAAACAGTGTAGCAAAGCAATCAGATTAATAATAATAATAATCCTTGCATTTGAGATAGTGCTTTTCATGGCTTCTCGACCTCTCAAAGCACTTCACAGAATAGACTGTAAAGTGAATTGACCGTATATTTGTGGGTGAAACGCAGCAGCCAATTCTACACAGCAGTGTCCCTCAAACAGTGGTGGATTGAAAATGACCACTAGCTTGAAAAAGGACCTGAGTTATGAGAAGAGGCTGCAGAAACTGGGAATGATCACACTAAGCAAAAGATAGCTGAGAGGGGGAAAGTGTGAGAGGGGGAAGAGTAATAATAATAATAATAATCCTTGCATTTGATATAGCGCTTTTCACGTCGGGAGGACGTCCCAAAGCGCTTCACAGAACACACTGTAAAGTGAATTGACTGTATATTTGTGGGCGAATGCGGCAGCCAATTGCGCACAGCAATGTCCCACAAACAGTCGTAGATTGAAAATGACCAATTTAATTATTGTTTTTGGTTTTTGGAGGGATTATTATTAGGCGTGTGGAGTAAGGAAACTTGCCCAAGGTTTCGCCCTGCCTGGAATTGAACTCAGGTCTCTCACTTGCAAAGCGAGTGCTCTAAACACTGAGCTACAGGACTCCAGAGTGTGAGAGGTGGAGAGAGAGTATGTGAGGGAGAGGGGGGAGAAAGAAACAGAGAGAGAGAGGGATAGATTGAGAAAGGGTGGTGGAGAGAGAGAAAGAAGTAGAGTGAGAAAGAAGAGAGGGAAAGGAGAAGTGAGGGCAGTGTTTTGTGGTTCACTGTCAGGACAGACGATCGAAGCCTCCCTCGGCCACCAGGGTGGGGGGAACCGCGGTCGAACACTGAGTGCCGTGCAGTTTCCCCACGAAATGCTCCCTCTTTATTTAGTGAAAAATTCCTCTACGTCCTTCATTTCATCTCCCTCCCTACCCTACTGCTGCGACCTCCCAACCTGGCCATTCCCTTTGCAGAGCAAACACTGCCTTGCTCCATGTCCCCCACCCCTATCCGCTCCACCAACTGGAGTTTGATTCCTGGAGTCCCTCCGACTTGTTCACTCCCTCCACTCTTTTAAGTCTCGTCAAGACCTAACTTTATGACTACGCTTTCGTTCACCTTTTCCCCTCCCCATCTCACCTCTCTCGGCTTCCACCCCCAGCTCAGTTGCCCAGCCGACAATGTCAAGATGCCCTTCCAACATGAAAAAACTGCTGTGTAAATGTTGTTATTTTTCTGGAAGCGAAACACAAAATATTGCTTACGCGGGCCATGGACCTTTCTCAAATAGGGAATCCAGCCCTCGCAGCCCAAAGGTTGGACCGCACTGCTATATGCCAACCATCTAGACTGCAAATCCTGGGTATAAAAATGGGTGTTTATGAACCTAAACTTCAGGCAATATTGTTAAAATAGACCCCAGTTTGTTTTAGTGACCATTCACCTTCTGTGTATTTAGCATCATCCCCAAATACTTCTCCAGGAATATTTTCCATAATAAGCATTAGGATGACAATTGGCATGATCGTTTATGATCTGCAACAGTGATCACATTGCAAACTCATTTAAACTTAGAAGGGGTAAAATTCCACCTAGGATTAGATTTACTTATTAATATAGCATTTCAGAGTCCACAGAATTTGCCAAATTCGTAAATGCAGCCTTAATTTTGAAGGTGGTTTTCTTTTAAATTTTTTGATGTGAAATGATTTCTGCCTTGGTGCCATAAATGTATTAAATAATCCTTGCATTTGATATAGCATATTCACATCAGGAGGTTGTCTCAAAGACTCACTGTAAAGTGTGGTGACTGTGTCTTTTGAGGCGAAGGTGCCTGCCAATTTGTGCACAGCAATGTCCCTCAAACAACCATGAAGTGAATGCTTAGTGTTACTTGGGGGATTGTTGATCAGGATCCCGGGAAACACCTGTGGTGATATTAAAATTTTGAAACAATCTAGATTTGAAAATGTAGGTCTTCTTATAAATGAATGAATATT